CAATTTATATGAAATATATCTAGTAGTCTAGTGGTGTTGATCTACTTAATGGAATGAAAATATGACATAGTTTACATCCCAAACTGGTAGGCATTGCACAAATGGTCTTTAGTAAAATCTACCTCCTAACCAAATATTATTGGATTGTCTTTCTGAGAGTTTTTGTACTAGCATGACATACTCACCTATGCCATAACCATGATTCACCAAAATAAATTTCATGCAAATATTGTCAAAATTATCAGCATAAGACAAATTAAGCAATAAAATACTTTTTATCCTTTTTCCTTATAACATAAGTTTTCCATTGAACAAAATAATGCATTTATTAGAGAGGAACGTCATCTCAAAACCCTTATCACATAGTTGGTTAATACAGAGTAAATTAAGCTTCAAACTAACTACTAAAAGTACATTTTCAGTAATAAAATTATTTAATTTTCCAATAATACTTAAGCCCATCAATATATTGTGGTGTTGTCACCTTCTATTACCTTGCCTCCACTCCTAACCTCCATCATTAAGATATGCTTATTATCTCCCATCATATGTCATGAGCGATCATTATCTAGGTACCACATGCTCTCACTAGGCCTTTTGTGAGAACATCCCTATAGGGTCAATCAAAGATTAGATTTAGAAACTCAAGTGAGTTTCGGTTCTACCTTATGCTTTGATGAGTGAATGGAATGAATGATATGATATAATGCTAATGATCTGGGCATCCACACTAGATGTGTTCTATAGTATATAGTGCAAATTCAAGCAATGTGTCCTACCATGCAACAAAACTAACACCTAATCCAAGGAATTTGTTCACTAACCTCTATGGGAGATAGTGATTCTTCCTACAGAAATGTCATGCATATTGTATCAGAGGTTATGGATTTTGTGTTATTATAGGTAGTGGTTTATTATTTTGAAGTGCAAATATTTTATTTTCTAAGAATTAATTTTCATTCTTGTAGCTTTAAACTTTGAATTGTAATGCATGCTCATTAGAGTATAATTCTAATAAAATTGACACTAGTTACATAGTTGTCTTTTCTAATATAATATTCTCATTTTCTAAGGAGTAATATGACTTTCTTATTTCAATATTTTTTTTTATTAAAATTATATAATACTGATGCATGTCTTTATCTAATTAAATATACTCTGAATAAAGATCTTCATAGTTTTACTGTTCATTGGGGTTGAGGTAGAGAGAGAAGCTTCAGGATTCTAGAGAGAGAAATTGTCATTTTCAAAAAAATTGTTTCACGGGTTCTATTCCGTTCTTCTCGGATTTGGATTCTCAGGTGTTCATAGAAGGCTGCCAGCCATCTTCGGCGGCGGTAGGGTTTGGTATTGATAAGGGGAGAGGATCTGTATCGTCGGTGGCGGGGATTGGTCGCCAATCTTCTTCAGGCTTGAAGGAAGGTAAAGTTGGTAATGTGGATTCTTGTAATCAAGATTTGGGTGGTGTTATCCGCAAGAAGGATGGGGAAGGTGCTTTTTCTTGTCCCTTGGGACCGTTGTTGATTAAGGAGAATTTGGATTCATCCAGGAAGATTGTATTCGTCGTTGGGAAGGGAAAGGAGATCGTTGATGAAGGAGAACCTGTTTCGCCGGTGAGAACAAATAATATTTCTGAACTTAGTTCTGTTGATCCAGTGGTTGCATCTTCAGAAATGAACATTTAGGTTAACAGGAAGGGGTGGAAATTCCACTTTGCTACTTTGGGGAAGGGGTGGTTTTTATGTTCCTTTGAATCTACTGAGATGATGGAAGGTGTTTTATTGGGAGGGCCTTGGTTTGTCAATGGCTCAATAGTGGGGTTGGAGAAGTGGTCTTTAGAATTTTCCACTCTTTCTTTAAAAGGCTTAACCTCACCAATTTGGATCAGAATGCCTCACTTTCCCTTGCAGTGCTAGGATGAAGTGAACGTAGCTCGGATTGCTTCCTCCATTGGTAAACCTTTGATGATGGATGGAAATATGTTTCAGTGGGGGAAAAGGGAATTTGCTAGAGTTTGTGTGAGGGTAAGGCTGGATCAGTGCCTTCATTTAGGAGTATGGGTTGAAAGCATCTCTGGGAAATTCTTTCAAAGATTTGAGTATGAGAAAGTATCAACTCTTTGCTATGGATGTGGAATGGTGGGGCATCTTAAAAATGATTGTAGAATGAGGGCTGTCGGGAATTCTGGAAAGGAGATGAATGGGGGTAAGTCTATGGAAGCCAAGGAGGTTGAAAAGGTTCATGAAGAGGTTGCTAATCCCTCTTATGGTCCTTGGATTATGGTGAAGAAGAAGATTAATCAAAGACCTGTTATTCAGAAGGACAAACCAAAATCTATGAAAAAACAGTGAATGAAAATGGCTGGAGCTCATGATGAAATGGCAAGGAATGTAAATCAAGGTAAAGATGCTTTACACAAGGAAGATGGTGTTGCTGTTGATAATTACCTGGAAGAAGGGGATAAACCTGGTGAAGAGGAGGTGGTGAATTCTAAGAAGTTCTACCTGTATGGAAGAATCTACGTTAGAGGTTGATGATTCTACTTATGTTCCTCCAAAGATCAATGGTATATTTTCTATTGTTAATACACCAGTTGTTCCAGCTATTTTGAATAAATTTGCTGTGTTAGACGGTGTGGATGAGAATGGAATAGGAGATGTTTGTACAAAAATCAAGTCTGGAGAGTGTGGGGATTTTAAGAAGGAAGGATTTCCTACCATTATTGGGAGTCTTGATGGTAATGGAAATATCAAGGAATATGAGGAGAGTAAGTGTGCTGGGAGAATGGAGAAGGAGGTTGTTTCTAGTGGAGAAATGGTGAAATGTAAGCTTGCTAAGGAACTTAAAGCTTTGGGACCTATTAAAAGCAGTTCAAGGGGTAGAAATGTGGATGGCGGTTTGAAAAAGAAAGGTGGGGGATCTTCCCCCAGACTTTTTTAATGGAATCTATTATATTCTGGAACTATAAGGGGGCCAAGAAGAGGGAGTCCTCCCTCCACTTAAAGGAGATTATTAAAGACTACAAAGTTTTCTTTGTAGGGTTGATTGAAACAAAAATTTCTTCTATGGATAGAGATTTGTTTGTAAGGATGAAGGGGCTTGGTTGGGATTATTTCCTTCTTCCTTCAGAAGGGCTTTCTGGTGGTATAATGGTACTCTGGAGATCGGATGTGGCATCCTTTTCTGTTTTAAAAACTTCAGAACAATGTGTTATTGGTGATCTCAATGTCTTCTATAGAGGAGTTTGGATGATTTCTACGGTTTATGCTAGTAAGGAGACTCTGAAAAGAAGGAATCTTTGGGAGATCATTCAGGAGGCTTCCCATAGAGATATTCCTTCTATTGTGGGAGGGGATTTTAATTGCATCTTGACTCAAGATGATAAGAAGGGTGGTAGAATATTTAAATTCAATCAAGGCTCTTTGGATATGATGAAGTTCATGAATGAGAATGACTATCATGAAGTTGGGTTTGTTGGACCTAGGTACACTTGGTGCAACAACAAGAGTGGAGGAGAAAGGATCCTGGAAAGGCTTGATAGGTGTATTCTTAACTCCTTGGCTATCAACAAAATCCAAATTACCTTTATTAGACATCTTGCTAGAGTTGCGTCGGACCATTGTCCGATTGTACTTAAGATGTTTGAATCAGTATGTAAAGGTAGAAGTGGTTTGAAGTTTGAAGATACTTGGCTTTCCTATAAGACTACTGAGAGTATTGTCTCTAGTAGATGGAGAAGACCCTTTTTGGGAGATGACATGGAGGTTCTCAATAAAAAATGTAAAAAGACCTTGAAAGATTTATTTTATTGGAGCAAGGCTAGGTTGAAGAATTTCTCTTTGGAAAAAGACAGATTAAAAGCTAAAATTCTAATTTTGCAAGAGGAAGAATCTAGGCTTGGATGGTTGACGGAAGAGAGGCTTTGGTTACTCAAATCTAAAGTTAAAGAACTTAATGTTGTGCTCAATAATCTTAATACCTGGTGGAAGCAAAGAGCAAAAGCGAAATGGATTAAGGATGGTGATGCGAATACCAAATTCTTCCATTCTTTTGCCAATTCTAGGAGAAATGTCAAATGGATTTCTCAAGTTAAGGATGCTGAGGGGGTATTGACTGACCATCCAAGGGAGATTAAGGAGGTATTCAAGAAGTTTTTTTAGGTGAAGTGGAAATCCAGAGATTGTAGCTTTGCTGGGTGGCCAGAACCGTGGACTTGTTTGCAGGAAAGTGATAAAATCTTGTTGAATAAGGAGTTAAATGAAGCTGAAATCATAGATGTAATTCAAAATATGGGTGGTAACATATCTCCGGGCTTTGATGGGATCACCTATTCCTTTTTCAAAGCTTTTTGGAATAATATTAGAGTTGATGTTGTTAGATCTGTGCAACAGTTTTTTATTACTAGTTCTATGAATAAGGAATGGAAAAACGCATTAGTTGTGCTGATTCCGAAATCTGCTAATCCCAGCACTCCTTCAGCTTACCGACTGTTGGTGGAATTTTGAAAATATGTTTTGAAAAATATTAGTTTTCTTTGGGAATTTTAAGATTAAGGTTGAGTTTTAATTCTAGGGTCGAATCAACTCGTTAGAAAGAGTATATCACCCCGGGGGACAAAGATAAACTTTTATAATGGCATTCATGAAAGGGGTCAATATATTTGTTAATAAATTTATAAGAACCTAAATTGCCTTCAAAGAAATTGTTAGATTGGTTTACACATACATTTATTCTAAATCCATTGTAAGAACTTAGCATGAAACTAAGCTAGAAACTCATAAATGAGGAAACACCATCAGAAAAATTGATTGCTCTTCAAGCATGGCGTGAGAAGATTAAAAAAGAAATAATTTAACAGAAAACAAGGGCATTAATGAAGCAACCAAATCATGCAATAATAATTTTATAGTTATATTGGATGTAATCATGTACATTTCTGAAAACAAGGGCATTAATGAACTGGTAATTGTTGCCACTTGACAAGGAAAATTTGTAGGAGGTTATGCTATGCAGAAGTAACAAGGGAAAAGGAAAAAACCATGTACCTCCTCAAATGCTTGTCGCAAAGCTATTGGATCATAAGTAGTTTTTGGTATGCACTCTGAAAACCAAAGCGGATTATACCATCTTTGAAGTCCTCCTAAACAGAACCCAGAAATTTCAAGAAAGCAAGTAGTTTAATTTGAACTCAAAAACATGTCAAATCACAATATACACTGAGAATTCCTACTAAAGAATGGAAATAAACAGCTGCAGACTACAGGAAGCGTAGTGCTTGGCATATCAAGTACCCTTTTTACTAGAATATATATGACCAGGAGGAAAAGAAATAAATCGTTCGCAATCATCACTTAAGGCTTTCATTTCTGAAGCAAACCAAACTGACCCTGCAAAAGTATCACAAGCATAATAATATAATGTTAGAAGCGTGTAACTTAAGCATGGAGTATAGTCAAATGGAAGTACCAATTAAAATAAAAGAAACCGAATCTCTACGGCCTAAATATTACATGTTTTTGAAAGCGGAGGCAAAGTGAGGTTATTTATACCTTTTAAGGGTGAAACTTAAGCCCTGAGAAAAGGGGTGTAAGCCTCACAAATTCTCTACTGTTACAATTTTATAAATAGAAAAATATGATTAAATAACAAATATAAAATTAAAATAATTTTAAAATACAAACAAACTGCCAAAATTGGGAGATAATTTTTGCAAGAAAAAAGCATAACATATATATAAGAGGTGTGAAAACAAACAAACAAATCCTAAAATCTGAATCGAACCAACTAAACTGATTGAATTGGTTTAGGTTTCAAGTTTTGTAAAACGACTAATAGATTAAGCATAATATTTATAATTGAAAATGATTGAAGTTTAATATATTATAGTCAAACCAAACCTAAAGATTAAATTAAAAACAAAAAACTCAAGTCAAATATGTTAAAAATATTATGAAACATCATAGATGCTTTAATTAGTCTTCAACATAAAATAGATCTATCAAATTAAACTAGGTCGAATTGTTGAAAAATAATTAAGATTAAATTGAATCAATCCATTAATTTCTAAATATTTATATTTTTAGATTAAAAACAAAACCAAAATCAATCCATCTAATTTAGTTTGGTTTGACAAAATGAGGGTCTGATGTAGGTCTCAGATTTGGCTAAACGGTTTAATTTTATTTTAATTTAAAATATTATTCAGTTTGGAACTAAACCAAACTCTGCACACCCCTATATAAAATGCAAATGAAGGTTCTATATTACTATCCAAACTCCATAATTCAACTAACATAAAGACAAAGCAAAAGAAATCAAATGCCGAAAGCAAACAAACAAGACAAAAAAAAACATCTAATTACATGTTGGTTGGTCTTACAAAATCAATTTTAGGCATCAAAATCAAAAGTAGGCACAAAATAAGGTGGTGTTGATTCAATTACGGGAACAAACCCCACTTCATTAAATTCATTATTCTGTTCTTCAATACTATTCATCTATTGGCCGAAAATAGGAACCAAGGGGCTTTCTTGCATCACCCCATCCCAGCTAAGCCTTGAGGTGCACATACAAACTCCTTTCAAAATATAGTTAATCATGAAGAAAAATATAAAGTTGCCACTATACTGAAACACTATAAGCAATAATTGTGTAATGATCAACAAATAGATCATCCTACAAGAAAGTTTATGAGCAAGAGGATAATAAATAGGTGAAATTGACGAAGCAATTTTATAATCTGAAAAAAAAAGCCCAAACAACTTCATGCAGGGAATCAAAATCCATTGAGTGGACTAAAACCACCAAATCTGTAATTGCACAAAACTAAATGCTGTATTATTGCATAAAACCAATAAAAGGAAATTATTGAACTGTCCGCCTACCACAAGGAAGCTAGGTTTAATGTGAACTCTGAAAAATGGTAAACAAAACTTTTGTGCCTATTCACCATCAGCATTCCTATCCTCCGTGTAAGAGTTTCGCAAGTCACATGATGAATTGTTTACCTAGGAAGCAAATAAGATATGTGATCTGGCAAAACCCTTATTCTCTTATAGGTTTTGCACGAGTTAACACAGTAGAGAAATCATTAACAATATTTGCAATCTCAAAACTAAAAATAAGTGTTAAATGTGGTCAAGTCAATAACAAAATCAAGCATAATTCTAGAATGAACTGCACTTTCTAGTAACAAATGTCCCCCACTCCCATACCTAGAGCGTAGAGCATAAGTGACTATTTAAATTTATACACAACAGCAGAAGAAAAAAAAAAGATTTCTCAGTCAAATAGGAAACTTCAATGACTGATAAAAAAGAATGTAAGCAATATGAATTTGCCAATATGATATCATGATTCGAGCTATGGAAAACCATCATTTATATCCTCAAAATGGACAGGTCAATAGCTCAAAAAAAAGGAAAAAAAAAAACAGACAACGCAAGCATAAAGTTAATTGCATACCATCAAGACCCCAACCCATGTACAAAGGAGTGATGCCTATGGCATCACGCGCAGCAATAAAGCTTTTATCACGAGTATCAAGGAGAACAAAAGAGAACATTCCATCCAACATGTCCACGAAATCCTCCCCATAATCTTCATACTGTTGAAAAGGAAAATATTCATTTCAGTTAGCCACTAACTCATAATAATGGGTGCAGAAAATTTTCCTTCATAATGTAAAACTTAATGACCAATAACAATGTCCAAAAAAAGCCAATGGGATAATAAAAAACTACTGGTTGAGTAGCCAAAAACACTTATTCCATATTATACTGACAAGATGAGCAATCACTTCACAATCGCTGCCAGTTCTGAATTGATGAGACACGAGCTTTGTTCTCAGCTCCTCGTGATTATAAATCTCCCCATTGACCTAAAACAAATTATCAATTGATTTTTAAGGCCAAAAAATTTATCAATGTACAGTAATAATAATAATAATCTAAAAGTTTATCTATGAAAAAAAGTTAAAGAACTCAGATCACTTCAACATATCATAGAAATATCTTCATAGGAAAACAAGACCTGCAATTTGCAAACAAACATGCACAAAAATAGAATTTGTTAAGCAGGGTTGAGGAGCAGGCAATAAAAAGAAGATTGAAGGTTGGAAGCCAGCAGTAGGGCTGGGGGCAATACAAGGAAATCTGGATAAATAAAGATTTGCAGAAATACACGGAAAGAAGGTCGGTTGCAGCAACTAAAATACAGGGATGGTGGTCTAACGACTGCTTGAGCAGTAATTTAAGATTCTCGTATTAAGTTTGTTTTAAATTAACGAAAATCCATATTTGAATGTTAATTATGTTTTATGTTAATTTTCCAAGTCTTATGTATAATAGATTGGAATTAAAATAAGAAAATCAAGTCTGTAAAAAAAATTCTTTGGAGAGATATGGCATTGTAAGGTGGAGCACTGTGGCACTATTACTGTGTTGAGCAACGCTATGTCACTGAGATTAAGAGTTGTAGCGCTGAGCTCTTGGGTTGCATGGCTAAAATGAATGGAAAAAGAGTAGCATTGTGGCGCTAGTGGTGAGTGTTGCTGCGCTAGTCACTATTGAATATTTAATTAAATATCTAAATAGATAATGGGTCAGCACAGCGGCGCTCAGAGAAGTAGAGTTGCAGCACTAGTTCAAAAATAAAGTCTTTATATAAATATCCCAAAACATTTTCTAAAATATAAAACCAATTCATTTGGTTGGTTGAAGGAAAAGAGAAGAGGAGGGAGAGAGGAAAGATGAAGGAAAATGAGGGTTTTGGCAGTCGCAGAGCAGATTTCCTCCATCGGGCCAGTTGAGAATATTGTTTGTCTCAAAGTAGATTACTGTTACTGTGCTTTAGTTATTAATTTGTGTATTTTATTGAGTTAGAAATTGAGAAAAAGAAAATTTTGAAAGTTGGGAAAGTTCTCACCATGCAACTGTTGAAAGGTGTAGCACAGGACATTCTAATCATTTTGACAAGAAAAATATGAAATTTCACTGGCTAATTTATCTAGCGTGGGCATTTGAAGAAACTGTTCAAATATAAGATAAGCTTTAAAAATAATGTTTGAACTATTATACATGAATGATTTCATATTTTACTATTATTGAAAATGTGAGCATATTGCTTATGTACAAGTTGAATTTCTAGCAAAACTATGAAAATTTTGTATTCTTGTATTTTATTGAATATTGTTGATATATGTTAGAAATGCTGGTAATTCAAAGTAATATATATAAAGTGGGGGAAAAATAGGGTGATGTATGTTGTCTTGTTATATGTTTTATGCAATGTAAGTGGAGTTATGAGGGCCTGTGAGCATTTGTTCTTTTATTTGTCTTAAGCAAATATAATATGATCAAATGAAGGTATAAATGGAAGTGAATGTATGAGGGGAATCATTCTAATATGATCAAATTGGGGTACAAGGAGACTTTGAAAATTGTGAAATTTGTATTATATTTTGACTTATATATTAAAAGTTACTTTTCATTTCATATTATATTTTGATATCATGTTCAAGTGTAGGAAATATTTCACGAAATGAGCATATAAGTGAAAAGGTTGGAGTAGCTCTAGTGGAAGATAAGATTAGAGAAAATCGCCTTAGATGATTTTCAAGTCACAGAGGATTCTCAGGTACTTGAGAGGATCAGTAGACATAGCTTTTTGCTTTGGTGGTGCAGGGATTGATCAACAGCTTGAAGATTCTGATTTTGCTAGAGATCTTGATGGTAGGAAAAACTCAACAGGTTATATTTTCATTTTGAAAAAGACTACAGTCAATTGGGTTTTCAAGTCACGGAAGATTGTTGCGCTCTCAACCACATAATCGGAGACATTTCTATCACAGAGGCTAGCAAGGAGATGATTTGGTTGCAAAATTTCTTAACAGAACTTGGTAAGGGGCAAAAGAATGGAAAGTTGCATAGTGATAGCATGAGTGTTATACATCTAGCCAAGAATGTTGCATTCCATGCTAGGACAAAGCACATCCAGCTTCGATATTATTTCATAAGGTTGCTTTTAGAAGATGGTCATTTATCTTTGGAGAAGATACGCATGACTAAGAATCCTACATACATGTTGACGAACACGGTGACAGTTAATAAACTGAAGCTATGTCTAGCTTCAATTGGTCTTCATGGAGGATGAGAGCAGGGGTGAGTCACACTACAGGTGTTATGACTGATAGTGCAGATCGGGAGAAGGATTGATTGCAATTAATTTCCAAGTGGAAGATTGGTATGTGAGGAATTTGATTGTGTTGATCGATCAGATTCTTCTGTTGCCTCGGCCCTCAAGTTTCTCATGCTCGCTGGCGGTGCAAGGGGTTGACCCCCTGCTTGGGTTCGAGTGCTTTGCAACTGAAAAAAAAAATTTCCTACAATGCCTCGGTGCTATGTACTCGAGCGCCCCGAAGCTACGTACCTGAGTGCCCCTGCGCTATGTACCCGACCACCCCAGCACTGAACGATAGAGAGCAGAGTGCCGCAATGGCATAAATACGGCACTACAGCAGATCAAGTCAAAGATTCATGAGCCACAATGCTTCAAACTTGCATCGCAGCACTGCGAGACGGACTGGATGGTTTTCTTTCTCATTTTTTCTGAAGGGTTGCGTCCCTTAGAGTTATTTACTTGGTTTTCTCTTGTATTTTGAGTGTTAGACATTGGAGTATAGTGCATGAGAGAAGAGAAGCAAGGAGAGAGTGAGATATAAGTGAGATATGTACTTATTTCACTATATTTTCATAGTGGATTTATTGGTGTGGTGTAGCTCCGTGGTTTTTTCCCTAATTTAAGTTTTTCCACGTGAAATCCTGGTGTCCTTTATAATTCACTGATTTTACTTTCTTACTTGTTTAGTCATTGTGGTATTTACTCCACATCCCCAACATGACTCAATCAAAAAAGGAATATTTATCTCTCAACAGAAATATATTAGATCTATTAAGAAAACAAGTTTGATAAACCGCAAGCCGTTTGAAGCTCCAATGAAAACAAGACAATAACTAGACAATGATGAAGAAATAAATTTGACAAATGATGATATCAAAAACTGGTTCGGAAACTTATCTTTCTCACACTCGTCTATATATAGTATTTGCAATAAGACTTATCAATCAATTTATACATAAGTCAAAGGACTTTCATCGCCGCTATATTTGGAATAAATGCTTAGAAAACCAACAAGAAAAAATATGGGGAACATGTTGGCAGCAGCAAACAGGATGCAACTGTAGTTGGAAGTAAATAACTGGCAACTGAAGGAGTGGGCTGCAGTAAAACCTAAGAATAAATGCTCATAAAAACCTTATAAAATGTTTTCAATTTGCTGTAATCATTA